ATGGTGACGCACCCACCACTTATTTTGTTTTCATTCATTTACTTTTATTTGCTGCACGCCAGAGGGGGAGGCACTGCGCCCCCCACGCACCGCGTCTTTTTTTTTGTGCGTGTGTGAGCCTTGCCTCTTGCGGCTCTTTTCTGTGTAGGCGTCCCTTTCCCTCACTGGATTGCATCCTCTTCTCCCTCGCCTCTTCCCTTTTTTTTTTTTTGGTTTTCTTCTGCTTGCGGCGTTCGTGCCAACAACGTCAGCATTGAAGAATAAAAAGTTGTATATAAATATAAAAGCTGTTAACTATGGCTAACGCTAAAAAGGACGAATTGGTGACCAACTGCATCCGGTGCCTCGCGGCGGATGTTGTGCAGAAGGCAAACAGCGGCCACCCCGGAGCCCCGTTGGGCATGGCGCCCATCGCCTACCTTCTCTGGTCGGAGGTGATGAAGTACGACAGCAAGGACCCGGCGTGGATGGATCGGGACCGTTTCGTGCTGTCCAACGGGCACGCGTGCGTGCTGCAGTACGCGATGCTGCACCTCTCTGGCTACGCCGTCTCGATGGACGACCTCAAGAAGTTCCGCCAGTTGGACTCCTGCACCCCCGGCCACCCGGAGCGCGGGGTGACACCCGGAATTGAGGTGACAACCGGCCCGCTCGGTCAAGGCGTCGCCCAGGGCGTCGGTCTCGCCGTCGCCGAGGCCCAGTTGGCCGCCACCTACAACCGCCCGGGGCACAACATCATCGACCACTGGACGTACGTCTTCTGCGGTGATGGCTGCCTCATGGAGGGCGTCGGTCAGGAGTCGCTCTCGCTTGCCGGTCATCTTGGGCTTGAGAAGTTTGTGCTGGTTTACGACTCAAACCACATCAGCATCGACGGAAGTACCGACCTCGCCTTTACGGAGCACCCGAAGCCGAAGTACGAGGCCATGGGCTTCCATGTCGTCATGGTGGACAATGGTGACACGGACTTTGGCGCCATTCGCGGCGCGCTGGAGGAGTGCAAGAAGGTGAAGGGAAAGCCAAAGATGATTGTGCTCAACACGACAATTGGCTTCGGCTCGCTAGTGGCGGGTACCGGGAAGGTTCATGGTGCCCCGCTCGGCGACAGTGACATTCAGCAGTTGAAGCAGCGCTTTGGCCGCGATTCTTCGAAGAAGTTTGAGGTGGAGCAGGAGGTGTACGATATCTTCAAGCAACACGTGGCCGCCTGTGCGAAGAAGCACGAGGAGTGGAAAGCGGCGATGAGGAGGTACGCCGCTGACTTTCCCAAGGAGGCCGAGGCTTTGGAGGCGCGGCTCAAGGGTGAGCTTCCCTCCGGCTGGAAGTCGAGGCTGCCACTGAACGCTAACGCCTCGATTGCCACGCGCAAGGCCAGCGAGAACACCTTGGCGGCGCTCTTTCCCCTCATCCCGGGGCTCATTGGCGGTTCCTCGGATCTCACGCCGAGCAATCTCACAAACCCGAGTTCGGCGGCCCTGACCGACTTTCAGAAGGCCACTCCACAGGGTCGCTATCTTCGCTTCGGCGTCCGCGAGCATGCCATGTGTGCCATCATGAACGGCCTCCATGCTCACGGTGGGTTTATTCCCTTCGGTGCGACATTCCTAAACTTTTTTGGTTACGCGCTTGGCGCCGTCCGCCTGTCTTCCCTGTGCCACCACCATGTCGTGTTCGTGGCGACGCACGACAGCATTGGCCTTGGCGAGGATGGTCCAACACACCAGCCGGTGGAACTCCTCGCCGCCCTGCGTGCGATGCCGAACCTGCTCGTGTTTCGTCCTGGCGATCAAACAGAGACGAGTGCGGCATGGGCAGTGGCGCTCGAGAACAAGAAGGGGCCGTCTATTCTGTGCCTGAGCCGGCAGAATACGGTGCCGCAGTCCGCCTCCTCGATGGAGGGTGTTGCAAAGGGGGCGTACGTGATTCACCCCGCAGAGAAGCCGCAACTCATCCTCGTCGCCAGTGGCTCGGAGGTCTCACTCGCCGTTGATGCCGCGAAGGCGCTTGCGGCGGAGCTGCGCGTGAGCGTTGTGTCCATGCCATGCCAGGAGCTTTTTGATCTCCAGCCAATTGACTACCAGAAGTCCGTGTTCCCCGACGGCGTCCCTGTGCTCTCCGTTGAACCGTACGTTAATTACGGCTGGGAGAAGTACTCTCATTACCATGTGGGCATGTCGGGCTTCGGCGCCTCCGCCCCGGCAGGTGAACTGTACAAGCGCTTCAACATTACCACCGAGCACGTCGTCGCGATGGGTCGCAAGTTAGCCGCCAAATACGCCAATGGCACTGCCCCGGAAAAGCGTGTGTGTCTGTGAAGCACAAATGCATAAAAAGTAAAAGCATACCTTAACGGCAAAGGAAAATAAAAACAAAAATGAACGGCATGAATTTTTATTGGGGAAAGTCTACAATGACAGTAACCAATGTAGTAATATTCTTTCTGGCGGACAGAAGCGGATATGCAAGCAAGGAAAGGAGGAAGTGGAGGGGGGGAAACAAGCAAAAGGATGGTGAGAAATAGGATAAAG